CCCTTTGAATGTAGCTCGAGCCTTGTATTTATAGGAAGAGTCCCTGGATGAGTAATCGAGGCTGAATTTACGCATAGTGGAGTCTGATTAGCGCAAGTGGGCAGTCCAATCGACATTTGGGATCGTGAAGTATGGTGGTGAGACTCCAGAAATCCCGGTGAATCTCGGCCGCCGCTCTCGATCGTGGGTTCTGAACCTCTGGCCGTGGAGACGCATTTATGGCCTGGATAGCTGGTGAACCAACATCTCAAGCTGTCAGAATTCTTGTGAGAATGTCCACGTCTAATCATTCTGATCTTCATCACCAAATCTTGACTTCAGTCACTTCCCACCTTCCCTCATGCATTAAATGCTACTTTGTGGCCAATGGGTTTGCTGCATTAAACAGGCACTACTTTATTAAATGAAGCCTGGGACCCTGCTGTCACGTGATGATTTGCCTTTAATATCTTGGCCGCAATTTTGTTCGGCCTCGGCCTACGCTTGAGGCCGAGATGATCATGCCTTAGCATTTCCTTCTTTTATTTTAGGAAGGCGAAATACCCTGGCAAAACGCTGCGTTTCAGCCTCTGCAAACGAGTGCCAGGGCCGAGAGAAAGGGCTCCTTCGGCCAGCTCATGGCCGTGATTTATCAGGCACAAACACTACCCTCCCATCAGATAGTGTACCCTATAAACAGAAATACAATGCAGTGATATGAAAGGGAAGTAAAAAGTGTTTGTGTTCACCTTCTTTAAACAGTTCAACGACGGCTGCTGGAAGCCTTGCGGGGGCGATTATGAGGAAATCCAGAGGAAGCTTATGGAGAAGGGGTATGCCGTGCCGCACTTGGTGATTTGGAATCTCATCAGTGTGGGGTATGCGCCATGGCGTACTGAAGAGCCAAGGGTGATGTTGTTGGGTGGCTTCTCGGAGGCTATGCTCAAGTGCTTCTTGGACAATGACGGCCAACTTGACCCCGACCAGGTCATGGAATTAGGCATCTCTGGCCAAGGCTATCAAACTTTGGCTATCTTCGACTGACTGTAAGGTGTCTGATTGAGTTTTCTTTATAAAAATGAAAGCGGCTTGGCATTTTGATATCTTCTCTAGTTATATGTAAACTTGTTTTTGGTTATTTTGTTATCAACGACAATGCTGAATCACTTGTCAATGTTGGAAAAAAATCCTCTGCTCTGTTACCCCTCTCCCCTGTTTTTTGTTTATTGCATTAAGTCTGCCAATTTTCGAATTAGAAAAGAAAATCAAGAGTTCAGAAAAACAATCTGAATAAATAAATAAATTTGTATTTCATCAGTTATTGATTCAGGTTACAACAAATATACACCAACCCACATGCCCAATTGGGCTTTTCTCCCTAACACAGTTCAAAATTCACACAAAACACATATAAAAAAAAAAAGAAAAGGAAAAAATAACCACACACTCTCTTTTGCTCTCTGATCTGAACAAGAACAGAAAACATATGAAGAAGCTAAGGAGGAAGAGGCTTAAACATTGGCAGAGTTGTCATGCTTGAAGGGATGTGGTGGAGGAGACGAAGGCAGAGAATTATTAGCTCCTGGTGGAGGAGTAGGCACCCCATAAACCTGAGCTGAGGCAATTGCGTCTTTTCGCCCACATTTTGTTGGGCCTGGACTGCCTCATGTGATCTGGCAGGTACACCTAGGAATGGGTATATTTTTGCTCCCCACTTTAACCAAAGGTGTACCCTCACCACCCTTCTCAACACTTGACACGTGTCCCTTGACATAATTATAGTTAACTTTTTATTTGTATTTATGCAACTATGGTTATGTCAAGGGACACATGTCAAATGTTGAAAAGAGTGGTGAAGATACACCTTTGGTTAAAATGGTGAGCAAAAATGCACCCCCTAGGAATATGCTTCCAAGGAAAAGAAAAGAAAGACTTCATGCTCGTTTGGGACTCCTCATCTAGGAAGTACTTCTGCTTATAAGCGATTCTAACAAAAGTGTTTTTATTATAAAAATCTTGAATTTTCATAAAAAAAAAATTAAAGTGCTTTGTGGAAAAGCACTTGGGAATGCTTCTTGAAGAAACACATAGCATGTGCTTATCCAATAAGCGCTTATATGACCCATAAGCGCATCTGAACTTTTTTGCCAAACATTGTCAAAAATGCTTTTAGTTATCAGAAAGCGCTTTTGGCCTTTCCAGAAGCACTCTCAAACAGGAACCCTAGCCCAATTGACTGACGGGCCTACGTAATTTTAGAGAGCTTCTTAGATGCTCCTGCAACAAACTCCCAGGTTGGAAGAGACTCGTCCTCGAGTCTAAATTGTTATCAACGAAGACTCCACGAGAAACTTGAAATTGAAAAAACTCCCCAGGTTGGAAGAGACTCGTCCTCGAGTCTAAACTGTTATCAATGAAGACTCCATGAGAAACTTGAAACTGAATTCTTCCTTTCCAAACAAAGAGGTATCTTGAATATACTCCATGAGAAGCTTGAAACTGAATTCTTCCTTTCCAAACAACGAGATATTTTGAATATCGAACCACTCTCAAATACTCATGTTTATTTTTTCGTATGTTTTTTCTGGAACCCACCAACCAGTCTATGTCACATGTTTAGTACGCTAAAGCCTACATGATGAATCATTGACGTTTCTTGATTTAGAAAACCCTTTTTCCATATTTTTCTGTTGCTGAGATTTGCTTTGGTGCTGAGTTGCTTGTGGATCAATTTGAGTTCGTTGTGACATTTTATTAATCAAACAGTTTCACAGTCGCTCACATACGCTGAAATTTACTATTTAGCTATTAAAGTCTCTGAATTTGCGAGACTTTTGCTTATAAGCGCTTATGTAAAGTTGTTTCTTTATTTAAAATTTACTGTGCTATCAAAAAGAAAAAGGAACATCCATTTCTTTTTCTTAATTAAAAGAAAATCTATAGAACATGTATTATTATTCAATGAAGATGAAGGCAACCAGATACCTATAGAATTGTATCTTATTTTATATATGCATCACCATTGCTAAAAACTAGAGGCAGAGAAAGACCCAAAGACAAGTACAACATGTAGGAAAGTTTTAGCAGTAAAAGTCACATATTGACAGCAAGGGCAAGACAATGGAATCTTCTTAGTTCTCACCTGCCTTCTCCTATAATGCCAGTGAGCATTGATTCAGTGACATTTACTGGAGATGGCGAAAGGTCAATCCCGGGGCTAGCACCAGTTGTGCTCCATTCAGGCTGACGGTTGAGAAGAACATTGCTCTCAGTTGATGGGGTATCATTATCCATCAAAAAGCTACTTGTGGTTACATCTTTGAAATCCCAATCTGTCAAATAACTTGGCTTTGAAATAACAGTGCTTACTTCAATATCTCCAGAGAGCATTGCCACTATGCGTGACATTGATGGCCTCATCATTGGTGATGCCTGAGTGCAGAGGAGAGCTGTTTTTATCAATCTAGTTGCTTCATTTTCATCAAACTCTGTCAATCTCGGATCCACCAGCCCCAAACTCTGGTCGTTTTCATGTAGAGTCCATGCCTGAATACAAACATCATGTGCATGGCATGGTTAAAAAGGAAAAAAGTAAAGAAGTTTTCACAACAATGCTAAAATAAAAGTAGCTGCTAGGCATATTGTCCTACCCATTCAAGAAGATAAATCTTTTCACGATCCAAGTTGTTGGCTGAGTTTGGCCTCCCGCTGAGGATCTCCAAAGCAACAACCCCGTAACCAAATACATCAGCCTTTTCTGTCAGATGTCCGCGCATTGCATACTCTGGCGCCAAATAACCTCTAAAAGATCATGAAATGGTTACTAAAAATGTTGCTTGGATTACACCCTAGTCACGATTAACTATGTATAACTTAAACGAGGGCTTACATTGTCCCTGCAACGCGGGTGCTAATGTGGGTTTTTTCGTCATCATAAAGCTTTGCCAATCCAAAATCTGATATTTTTGGGGAGAGTTCTGCATCGAGCAAAATATTACTGGCTTTGACATCTCGATGTACAATCCTGGGCCTTGACTCCTCATGAAGGTAAGCAAGTCCTCTTGCTGTTCCCAACAATATATTGAAGCGGGTAGGCCAGTCAAGGTGCAAGTCATTTCTTCCTAAAACATTACATGGAGAAGAACCAATGCATGTTAACAACTAATAACAAGTAGAAGAGAAAAAGAAAAACAAATTGGATGTAACCTTAGAGTACTTTAAACTGCAGAGTATTCTGTTTTTTTGCAAAATAAAAGGCAGAGTAGCAAAAGAATGTGCAGGTTTTTAATTTCATATGAATATTACTCTTTTGGTTTCTTTAAACTTCACTCCTCAGCAGAGAAAAATTATAACAAAGTGGTTGCGTAAAAAACTTGGATGAACTTTTAGAGTCCTTGAAACTGCAGAGTATTCTATTTCTAAAAAAACCTACCAAAAAGTGCCTGATCAAGGCTCCTGTTTTCAAGATACTCATAAACCAAAATGCGCTGGGTTCCTTCAATGCAGCATCCATACAATTTCACTAGATTGCGATGTTGGACTGCAGATATTGTAGCAATCTCGGTTACAAATTGACTCTTCCCTTGGTGAGATGCTACTGAAAGTTGCTTCACAGCCACTACCCTCCCATCAGATAGTGTACCCTATAAACAGAAATACAATTCAGTGACATGAAAGGGAAGTAAAAAGAATCCATTTTGCTTCTCTCTCAATTTCTTTTTGTAAGAAGTCAAAGTCATTACTTTAAAGTTGCAGATATTAATGTAAAATAGATTTCACCTTATAAACAGGTCCATATCCTCCCTCTCCTAGCTTATTTGAAGGATTAAAATCTTCTGTTGCAGCTCTCAACTCAGCATAACTGAAAGTATTTGGTCGGGGGCCTAATCCTAGAAGATCTGCATATTCAAAAGAAAGTATGACATACGTTTAAATTTCGAAACAATACATGCTACTATAAAATTTGTGTTAATGTCACAACACATAAGAAGTAATTTGTTTCAAAGGCTTCATGCTTATCAACACTAGAAAGAACCTAAAACCGCATGCAGAATTAACCACTAATAATATGCTCTTTTACCTTCATCGTCATCTTTTTCTGATTTTTTTCTCCTCATATATAGAACTGCAAATAATAATAGCAAGCTCACAACCCCAACAGGGACTGCAATACCAACTATCAACCCAGTCCTGCTTTTCTTTCCTTGAGTAGTTGGTGGAAGCCCAGAAACAGTTGGTGTAAAATCTGACCAATGAAATAGAATAATTGTTCAGTGTCAATAATTTAGCAGCAGAAAGATACATTTAAACCATTCATAGGAAGCGTAAGGGTGTTTTGCACAAATGATGGATTCTTTTTTTCAGCAAACAAACCCACATTGCTAACAGCCCATTTCTGTGTACTGGTTACATTAAATGTTGCTGGGCCAAGATCTGAGTCGTCAGCTTCATACAATATGCCATCACTTCCTCTCATTTGTGATCCTCCACACTTGATTGAGAAGTTTGCATCTATAAAATTGATTAGTGATAAAAACTTCAAACTCAAGAATCATACTGATGTTTCTGAATCACATATTTATAACCAGATATGATTACTAGAGAAGCAATGCCTATTCCTGTAACATGATAGTGCATTAATTATTGGCTAGTGAAATAAAAGAAGATTACATCGAGGGGTATTTCGATTGCATGGAAAATTCCTTTGGAGGCAATTCAATCCAGGAAGACTGAAAAAACAGAGAACAATTATTAATCCAGATGGAAAATTGTAGTGGAAGAATCCATTAAACTGAAGAAGTGTAATAGCAAGTAGTGATAGTATTGTCTGTCTAACTGCCAAATGAAGAAGGGTAAGAGAAACTTCAACTCACGTTATATTTGAACTGCCAAATGTGAAGTTGTTGACCACTAAGTTCCTGCATAAAATCATTAATCAATCCACATATGAAGATGAAAATTTCGTGTTCAAGATCTCAACATATCAGTACTTAAAATCCATCCCTCCTAATTTATTGAATCTCATTCATGTGGTATTATATATGCACAATGAAGGTGATTTGGACCATAAAAATGAAGGGGAAAGATAAAAAGGAGACATACAGTTGCGATATTGTGGTTACCCATGGGGGAAAGCTTCCTGAGAAATAGTTGTAAGACAAATCTCTGCACATAACAATATAGAATGAGAAGGCACAAAAATGTATGAAAGTACAAAGGAATTTAAGTAAGAAAAAGGCTGCCAGAATGCGCGCATAGACGCACAGATTACTGGTTTCATTGCCAGTACATATAGCATACTTTTATGACATGAGGACTTACATAGTCTGTAGTAGATTGCTCTTTTGGCTTGGAAGAGGTCCAGACAGACTATTGTTTCCAAGAAATCTGGCCATATCAATAATAGGAGGCACCCAGAAAAAAAAAAAGAAAAAAAAAAAGAAACAAAGAAACAAGAAAAAGGTCAGATGAACGACTAAGTTTCTGAGCAGGAAATTCAATGGCATAAGTACGAAAAAAGGGAATAATGAAGGCAGGGCTTATTACAAATATGTAAGAGAACTCATGTTGAACAAAGAACTTGGGAGTTGGCCTGTTAAATTGTTGAAACCCAGATCCCTGCAACATGAATGATAAGGTTAGAGAGCAATTAGAATGAAAGAAAATTAATTGGTATTTTTGGGAATTAAGATTATATATATGCTGGAACGTACAGTATCTGTAAACCTTGATATTCTCCAATATCAGTAGGGATGCTGCCATTGATTAATGCGTTCCGTAAAGCTCTGTTACACCAGCAAAACATTTAGTGCACAAGTAAATGAGTAAGATTGCCAATTTTTAGAAGGAAAAAGAAGTTAGATCACGATATTTGAAGGGACGAGAATGTTAACTTACAAATCAGTCAAGTTCTTCAAAGTACTTATAAAATCAAGAGAGGAGCTCACATTATATATATCACTGATTCGCCTGCATTATCATACACAAATATAAGTGATGCTAGTATATGCAGAGAGAGAGGGAGAGAGTAAAACGTATGAAGCATTTGCCCTTACAGAGAAGTTAATGAGGTCAATTGAGAAAAACTGGTTGGTATTGGGCCTTCAAAAGAGTTCCCTTGAAATCTCCTACAAAAACATTAGAGATGCTTGTGAATAAAAGACCCATCTCAGCCATGCAGGTCTGCTTTCATAAACTGCAGAAGGTTAAAAGTTTTCCATACTTACAAAGAATTTAGTTTTGTCCAATTCCCAATGAAAGCAGGTATCTTTCCTGATAAAGGAATGTCTGATGCCCCGCTAAAATTCAAAAGGTTGACTCATAGTTAGTAAGCTCATCCCAGAATAGCAATCTCAAAGTACCAAATGAACGAAAAACTTAAAACACCACTTAAGGACCATTCTTACAGGATTTGCATGTTGATGAGCTTAGCAAATGTTGAAGGAATTTCACCACTGAATCCACCGCTGTTTATGTACCTGTGAAAATCATAAACTGATTAGTACCAATTTCATATGATAAATGCATTTCTTGCTCATTGATAATGAATTAACAAATAAACCGCTCCTTAAAGAGAAAATAATTATACATTGCAACATGTGATTCAAATTCGATGAGTTAAATGATGCACTCACAATTCCTCGAGCTTGACTAAGTTACCAAGTTCAGGAGGGAGTGTTCCGGAGAAATTATTTGATCCAATGGACCTGCAACAAGTCATGTTGAAGAGGTATATAATTAAATGATAGAGGGTTCTATATTTAACATGTCCCAATCGAGCATTTCTCATTTGTCTAAAACACAAAATTTAATTGTGTTTTCTTATGTTTCATTGCTTACAGCAATTTTAGCTCCTTAAGGTTTCCAAGCTCCTTGGGGATGGGCCCAGAGAATGAATTGTGGGCAATTGACCTGAATGGAAATATCAATTAAAGATATTAGCACCCATTTATAATTCAGGATAAAAACAAAATAATTTTATGTATAGTAGTACTATGTGCTTCTTTTACCATATGGTATAACTCACTTGGGAGTCTACGTTTCATGTCCTCCAAGAATAAATAAACGAACAAAATTAATTGATTTGTAAGAAATGCAATTCCAACTTATATATATCAGGACCAAAAACAAAAAACAAAGCCAATCACAAGCAACTAGTAAGTAGTTCCTTAAAGCTTAAAAAATGGAGAAAAAGGAAAATAGAAACTAAGTCAATTGTAGAAATTGTACATGGAATGAGACTCATCAAAGTATTTGACAGATGAAAAATTTGTACTAAAACAAATGTTCTTTCACTACTTACAATAATGTCAACGCAGACATATTGCCGATGAATGCTGGTAGGGGACCGGTGAAATAATTCTGATCAATTTTCCTACAAGAATTAAAACAAAGTGCAATGACCAATGATTAATCTCTGAGTATAAAAAATATTCGTGACAATTTTGAACGGTAAGAAACCTGTGTTTTTTATATGAAAATGTAGA